CTCACCATTCTACCTTGAGTTTCAATGAGAAGACTATCAACTGTTGTCCTTCGCCCTTGCTGCCCTGTAGTCTCTCCTTTCACCGTCCTGCTTCTTCACCTCCTGTTCCCTCACCCACCTCCTTCCATGATTGGATGCCATGCTGCTCGGAGTTCTTTTTCCCAAATTACATCTGTTCAACCCTTATTCTGGTGGGGGAGCTAGACTCCCCCTTTTAAAAATATGTATATTTTTTCCTGCAAGCTTGGGGTTTTCTAACTTAGTCCTGTGTACCTCGCAGATTTTTGATCCACCCATGGAACATTGTTAGCTATTAGATATATCATAGAAGAGAGAACATAACCAAGGATTACCTTTCTTGTATTAAATAAATAGGAACTAATAGATTGGTTGTAGATATGATGAACTGTGAACTTGGCAAGGGACAACAAGAAACAACTGTGAGCTGAATTACCCGCAAAAGTAAATCCAAAAGGAGACTTCAACAAAGTGAAATGCACATGTAATCAGAAATGAATCTATACATATAATCCATCATTGGAAAATAGAGAAGTTCACAGGATCCATAGAGGGGAAAAAACCAAGTCCAGAGTAGATATCCAACACTTTTCCTAGGTAGTATGCAGTGTTTCAGACTTCTGGTCCTTCCTCAGGAACAAAGAACAACATTAGGAAGTCTCATTCCAATTTCTTTACAGGACAATACTATTCAGTTTTTTTTATGGGCCAGGTCTCCTAAGCTTTAATATGCACCTCTCAAGGTTGCTTCTATGTAAACAGGACCAAACATGCCTCCTTCTCATTCTCAGTCAGCTTTGATACCCGATCACTGTGTCAGTTTTCTATCATGGGCCCATCTTTGTGTCCACTGAACTTCAATGAGCATCACATCATTCCATCACACACCAGAGCTAACCCAGACTGACATTCTCCCATGACCAGCAGGTGTTTAGTGGTCAAATGAGGTAGTTCAAGGATCTAAATGAAGCCATTCATAGCAGACGACGGGCGGGGGGGGGGACCAAAGAGATTTGTTTTTAAAACAAGCAGGTCAGAAGCATGGGCTGACCCCACTTTGGAAGAAATTCTGATCCAGAACAATAGGACTATCACTTAAGAACTAAATACCAGTCCACTGAATAGGTACCAATCTATGCCATTCAATATATTATGTCTTATTGTAGCAAGCCCTCATACCCTGGAATAAAGGTGAGAAACAAACCAAGCACTTCCTAACCTAGTGACCAGTAGTCTCGAAATAATGTCCACAATATATCTATCTGAAATGTTCTCTCATTTGAACCTGGTGATGTTGTTTGCTCCCACACATTGCCCCAGGGAGTCCATTCCTCAGTATTAAGTTGTAATAGTTCAAAATCATCTACTGACTTTAGGGAGAGGTAGAGGACAAGGCTGTCCAATGTCTCTGCTTCTAAGCATACACAGAAGGTAGTAGAACAAAATTTGAGTCCAGTAGCACCTTTAAGACCAACAAAGTTCAATTCAAGGTAGAAGCTTTCATGTCCATCTTGTGGGAGTGCCACAGAATTCACTGCTTGCAATCATGCTATTAAATATATATGAGACCTCTTCATGAGATAATCTGAAGCTTTGGAGTTGGCTGTCACCAATAGACGGATGACACCCAGCTATGTACCTCCTTAAATAAGGCTCTGGATGCCGTTGCCTCTGTCCTGCACCAGTGTCTGACTGTTATAGTCAAGTGGCTGAAAGATAAGAAACTAAATCCTGAGAAGACTGAAGTGATGCTGGTTGGTAAGGCATCTGCTGTTGAGAATGTTCTCCTCCCTACTGGGGGTTCAGCTGTCTTTGATGGATAATGGACTTTTTGGGACCACCTCTATTATCAGAGAAGCAGGTTTTCATGGTGGCTAAAAATGTGTTTGTTCAATTCCACTTAGTAGTAAGCTTTCTCCCTAACTGCAGATTGTGGCTGGCCATGCTCATCCATGCTGCAGTACCCCCAAGGCTCAGTCATTGTGACATGCGCTATGAGGTGCTGCTCTTAAAAGCACATTGGGAACTACAATTGCTAACAAATGCAGCAGCCTGTTTTCTGTTGGGGGCTAGCCACAAAGAGAAAATTAGTCTCATTTTACAATCTTTGCATTGGTTGCCAGTATGCTTCCAGATCCAGTTCAAGCCCTTCTTTTAAAGCCCTTCATGATCTGGGACCAAATTCTTGAAGGGCCGTTTTCTCTAAACATGAGTTCATGCAGCCACCTCTCTCAACGTAGAAAAACCTTTAAGGGTACATCCTGTTTCTGACTGTCCATGAAGCTTTTCAGTCACTGTTCCCACCCCTTCAGAATGACCTCCCAGGGGAATTTAGGAAGACTTCAGTTGTGTTTGGGATTCCATTAAAAATGCTAAACCAAATATGGGTTCTAAATCTAATCAACCCTGAACTTTCCCTAGAAGCTACAATGACTAAACTGAGGCCATCGTACTTTGGTCACATTCTGAGAAGACAAGATTCACTAGAAAAGACAATAATGCTAGGGAAAGTTGAAAGCCGCAGGAAAAGAAGACCTGGCATAAGATGGATTGACCCAATAAAGGAAACCAAGTCCCTCCATTTGCAGATCCCAAGTAAGGGTATTAACAATAGGATGTTTTGTAGGTTGTTAATTCATAGGGTTGTCATAAGTCAGAAGTTACTAGACAGTACTTAACACACACACACACACATACACAATTTCATGATTGGAATTTGTTTCCTGCTTAAAGAAATGTCACATAACTGGGATATGTTCCTGATAACGCATTATCCTAATTTTGAATACAAGAAGGCAAGTGTACATGGTTAGACAGCTGAGTTCCTCCAAAAAAAAGGGCAGCTATGTACCAACACTAAATTCAATTGGGAGATGTTTATACTTACTGGGGGGAGGCGCCCTCACACCAAACACTTGGACTTCACACAGTGAGAGATATTTCTGTTCGCCTGGTATGGTGAGTGTCACATACTGTCCTGTCATTTCTTCACACTCAAATTTACGTGTTTCCCCAGCACCCATCATGGTGATTGTGGCACACCTTGAAAAGAAACCAGTATATGTTCATTGGTATTTGTTTGAGAATTAAAGAATACTATAAGGAACAAGATAATACCCACAAAACAAAGCAAAGAGTAAAGGTTTATCACAATTTTTACAAAACAAATTGTCAGGAATCTATTTGGATCCACTTCATTCTCTGTCTATGCCCTAATTCGGTGATGACTCCACACTTCTATCGTTTGTTTATTGTATGTATCACCTTCCTTGTACCTCGTCTTCCATCTTTGTAATCCACCTTCTTCATTATATGTCATGCCTTAGGCAGTTTTGTGTTTGCATTATTTTCCAGTGATGTAACTCTAGTCCTATTGCATCTTCTATTGGATGTCTTATGTTATCTAATTGAATTGTTGGTTTTTATTGAGTAATCCACCTTGAGCCTCAGTGAAAAAGGTGGGCTATAAATGAAGTAAGTAGGAACATAAGAGACGCCAGTGTTAGATCAGGCCAAAGGCCCATCCAGTCCAACACTCTGTGTCACACGGTGGCCAGAAATACCAGGTGCCATCAGGAGGTCCACCAGTGGGGCCAGGACATTAGAAGCCCTCCCACTGTTGACCCCCCCCAAGCACCAAGAAGACAAAGCATCACTTGCCCCAGAGCCCCTATCTATACCTTGTGGCTAATAGCCACTGATGGACCTCTGCTCCATATGCTTATCTAATTCCCTTTTGAAGCCATCCATGCTTGTAGCCACCACCACTTCCTGTGGCAGTGAATTCCATGTGTTAATCACTCTTTGGGTGAAGAAGTACTTCCTTTTATCCGTTCTAACCCGACTGCTCAGCAATTTCATTGAGTGCCCACGAGTTCTTGTATTGTGAGAAAGGGAGAAAAGTACCTCTTTCTCTACCCGCTCTATCCCATGCATAATCTTATAAACCTCAATCATGTCACCCCTCAGTCGTCGTTTCTCCAAGCTAAAGAGCCCTAAGCGCTTTAACCTTTCCTCATAGGGAAAGTGTTCCAACCCTTTTATCATTCGAGTTGCCCTTTTCTGCACTTTTTCCAAAGCTTTTAAAGGTGTAGTGACCAGAACTGCACACAGTATTCCAAATGAGGTCGCACCATTGATTTATATAGGGGCATTATGATATTGGCTAATCCTCGCCCAACTTTGACAGATCCCTTTGGAGTGCCTCACAATCCTCACTGGTTTTCACCACCCTGAACAACTTTGTATCATCCGCAAATTTAGCCACTTCACTGCTTACTCCCATCTCCAAATCATTAATGAACAAGTTAAAAAGCAGTGGACCAAGTACTGATCCCTGCGGTACCCCACTGCTTACCACCCTCCACTGAGAAAATTGCCCACCTACACTCACTCTCTGTTTTCTATGAACTAGCCAGTTTTTGATCCATAAAAGGACTTGTCCTTTTATCCCATGATTTTTGAGCTTACTTAGGAGCCTTTGATGAGGAACTTTATCAAAAGCTTTCTGGAAGTCAAGGTAAACAATATCTATTGGATCCCCCTTGTCCACATGTTTGTTCACCCCCTCAAAGAACATTAACAGGTTAGTGAGACAAGATCTTCCCTTACAGAAACCGTGCTGAGTCTGCCTCAATAGGTTTTGTTCATCTATGTGCCTACTAATTCTTTCCTTAATAATGGTTTCCACCAATTTACCCGGTATCGACGTCAGACTGACAGGCCTGTAATTTCCCGGATCTCCTCTGGAACCCTTTTTAAAGATGGGAGTGACATTAGCTACCTTCCAGTCCTCAGGAATGGAGGCTGATTTTAAGGAGAGATTACATATTTTTGTCAGGAGATCCACAAGTTCACAATTGAGTTCTTTCAGAACTCTTGGATGTATGCCATCTGGGCCTGGTGATTTTTCAGTTTTTAAGTTGTCTATCAGTTTTAGGACCTCCTCTCTCGTCACCTCAATCTGACTCAGGTCTTTCAACACCCCTCCTGAAATCAGTGGTTCTGGAGTGGGCAAGCACTTCTCATCTTCCACAGTAGACAGAGGCAAAAAAGATACATTTAGCTTCTCAGCCATTTCCCTATCATCCTTCAGTACTCCTTTTACCCCTTGGTCATCCAAGGGCCCCACTGCCTCCCTGGCTGGTTTCCTGCTTCTAATGTATTTGAAGAAAGTTTTATTGTTGGTCTTTACATTTTTTGTTATATGCTCCTCATATTCCCTTTTTGTCTGCCTGACCACAGACTTGCATTTTATTTGCCATAGCCTGTGTTCTGTTTTATCAGCCTCACTGTGACTAGCGAATATATATATATATATATCTTCTAGGATCATAGTTTTAAATAGTTTCCAAGCTTCCCCAATGGTTTTGACCCTTTCTACTTTTCCTTTCAGTTTCCTCCCTGCATGTCCCCTCATATCAGAGAAGTTACCCCTTTTAAAGTTAAAAGTGGTTGTGTCAGTCTTTTTGGCCAATTCCCTATTTATACAAATGTTGAACTCAACAACATTATGATCACTGTTCCCAAGTGGTGCAATCACTTTTACATCTCTCACCAGGTCTTGAGTGTTACTTAGGACCAAATCAAGGATCACCTCTCCCCTGGTAGGTTCCGTGACCATCTGCTCCATAGCAGACTCCACACTTAAATAAAAATTTACTCCACAAGTAAATAAAAATGTTAGATCATTGGTAGGTGTACCTGGGATTTGTGGTGCCACCTTGGTCTTTTGAGTTCCCAATTCGGATTTCAGCACCCTCTAAGCGTTCTGCACAGCAGTCTCCTCGGTTAGTGACACGTACACTAGACACCTTAAACTGTGCCCTCAAGTCCACCATCCACCATGGGTTGTCTTCTAGCTGTGTGTGTGTGCATTGTCCACGTAAATAGTTAGCTGATTCAAGGTCATCAATGGCATTTTCAGGGCCCCCTAATTGGTTGTAGGTGCTGGACTGGAGCGCCTTTCCATCAAGGGCTGCATTATAGACTACAAGAAAGAATAGTGGGAGAGAAAGAAAAAAACATATTGATTCAGAGGGGTGGTTATGTTAGTCTATTGCAACAAAATAAAACAGCAGTGGCACCTTAAAAACTAGCAACATTTATCCCAGTATGAGCTTTCATGAGCAGGGGAAATGGCGGGAAAAGAAAGCGGCACGGTTTGAAATGACACAGCACTTCTGAGGTGGCTCCTTACTAGAAGGGAAATGCTGTGTGAAACAGCCGTCCCTGTACCAGTTCACTCCATGACAGGACAGTAACGGAAACCATTTGGTTTAGAAGGGTAGTGTGAAAAGGCTCTATCAGAGTGACTAGAAGTTTCTACCCCTGTAGGGTTTTCAAGGCAAGAGGCATTCAGAGGTGGTTTGTCCATTGCCTGCCTCTGCTTAGCAAACCTGGACTTCTTTGGTGGTCTCCCATCTAAATACTAACCAGAGCTGACCCTGCTTAGCTTCCAAGATCTGATGAGATTGGGCTATCCAAGTCAGGGCAGAAGTTTCTAGGAGACCCATAAACAGGGCATGAAGGCAATATCCTTCTAGTGTCTTTGACCCCAACCACTGAAGGCAGCGGTTCCACTGTGCCCTTGGGATGCAGCTGAGGGCTTTTCCCATTGCAAGCCCCTGTTATGCAAGCAGAAATTTCCATGAGAGGGGTCACAATGACGGTGTTTGAAGCCGAAAAAGTAGCAGAGCACTCTGTTGGTTTTACAGAGTATGTACAATTTATTTACAGAGATTATATACAGTTTGTAGCAATTCAGGACTCCGACCATCAAAGTGCTACGCAGAACAGCTGTAACCATATAGGCAGGCAGTCACCAAGAACTGGTTACAATATTTACAAGTATAGACCAATCAGGATACAGTTCTGTACATTTGCTGAGTCACAGTGACACCTAAAGAAATGATGCAGTCCTGAGTCACATGATCACTCAGCTGTCAAACTAGATTGTCCTGATCTAAACATCCAGTCTACATGACTTGCTGTGATCTTGACAGCAATCTGTATATGCTGACGCACAACACCCCAAGAACACTGACAGACCTCTTTGCCACTGATAAAACTATCCACCATGAAACCTGTGCCAATGCCAGCAGCATTCAGGCAAGAGCATTAACTCTGTCAATGAAGAGCAATCTGGGCAGGTGGGCAACGTCTTCTTTGTAGGAGTTCACACGATCAATGGAAAAACAGGCCACCTGGTCTATTTTCTCAGAACTCCCATATGGAAAACTGGGCTAAAACAAATAGAAATGAATTTTCACAGGGATAAGTGTAAAGTTCTGCATTTAGGTAGGAAAAATCAAATGCATAATTATAGGATAGGGGAGACTTGTCTTGGCAGTAGGATGTGCAGAAAGGGCCTAAGGGTCTTCGTAGACCATACACTGAGCATGTGACAAATGCGATTTTGGGTTGTATCAACAGAAGTATAGTGTCCAGGTCATGCGAAGTGATGGTATCGCTTTACTCGTCTCTGGTTAGACCTCACCTAGAGTATTTATTTTATTAAACTTTTATCCCGCCCTCCCGAACATGGCTGGCTCAGGGCGGCTAACAACAGATAAAATACCAAGTTACATATAGATAATAAATACAACTTTAAAACACTATATTAAAACCAGATATAATAATAAAACGCTAATGTATTGTGTTCAGTTTTGGGCACCACAATTTAAGAAGGATATAGACAAACTGGAACATGTCCAGAGGAGGGCAACAGAGATGGTGAGGGGTCTGGAGACCAAGTCCTATGAGGAAAGGTTGAAGGAGCTGGGTATGCTTAGCCTGGAGAGGAGACGACTGAGAGGTGATATGCAATGTTCCCTCTAAGCTGTGGAGTCTTGTGAGCAAAAATTCTACTTTGTGAGCTCCTGGCATTAAAGTTGTGAGTGAGAGATTTGGTTACTGCGTAAATTAGTTTGCTCTGGAGCCCTCCTTCCTGAGTGAAGACAAAAATCTGTGAGCCGGAGGCTTAAAAACTGTGAGCTAGCTCACACTAACTCAGCTTAGAGGGAACACTGGTGATATGATAACCATCTTCAAGTACTTGAAGGGTGTGGAGTTGTTTTCTGTTGCCCCAGAAGGTCAGACCAGAACCAACGGGTTGAAATTAAATCAAGAGTTTTGGGCTAAACATTAGGAAGAACTTCCTGACAGAGCGGTTCCTCAGTGGAACAGGCTTCCTCGGGAGGTGATGGGCTCTCCTTCTTTGGAGGTTTTTAAGCAGAGGCTAGATAGCCATCTGGCAGCAATGCTGATTCTGTGAACTTAGGCAGATCACGAGAAGGGAGAGCAGGAAGGGTTGCATCACTGCTTAGTTCTTATGGCCCTTTCTTACATGCCCAAAGAAATGCTGATCGCCACTTTGGGGTCAGGAAGCAATTTTCTCCAGGTCAGTTCTTCTTTCCATCTTCTGAACATGGAACAGAGGTCACTGGGGGTATGTGTGTGGGGGGGAAGTATTTGTGAATTTCCTGCATTGTGCAGGGGGGTTGGATGAGATGACCCTGGAGGTCCCTTCCAACTCTATGATTCCATGATTCTAAAGAGCTAGTTTACCGACTGAGTAGAGTAATCCCCCTTTTGTCACTTCCCCTGGCAGTCTAGAAGGTTTTCTTGGCTTTACCCATTTCTCAATGCCTGAGGAAAGCCCTGTAAGGAAGAAATCAAAGCAGAAACACGAATAGTGTTATAATGATTATTCCAGAACAGTTCTAGTTTGCATTCCTAATGACTCTTACCTGGAAGTATGTCCCACTGAATCTAGAGAGGCTTGTTTCCAAACCAAACATGTTTAGGAAACTGCTGTAAAACCCCTTCAGAGATTCTTGCCTCATGAAATGCATTTCCCCAATCAGGACTCCCATCTTTGTGTGTGCTGGATTGCCATTCGTCTTTTCAGGAAGATCCCAGACTTGGAGGTTTTGGGTTCTAGACTCTTGACTGCATTGCAGCCACCCTCCTCATCCTTGTAATGAAGACTTGTGCACATCCGCATCTTTACCACTTCTTTGAGGTGAAGTCCTAAGCAGAGCCGCACCCTTCTAAGTCCATGGACTTCTAAAGGTAACTCTTCTTAGGACTGCACTGTTAATGTCCACCTAGGTGTGATAGCAGCAGAATATGATGTGCTGCCCAACGGATATCAGAACAGCTTCACGCAGAAGGACAGGTGGGAGAGTGGAACTAAATGTTGCCACCACTCATGCTTTTCCCTTCAACACTCCATTCCTCCCAAGGCTTTTCTCCCAGCCAGACTCCAAGAGCACAAGTTTACTAACATCAGATAGGAAGTCAGCTGCACCAAGAGAAAGGTGTTGTTTGGCACAGCACAACTTGCACTATCGTGCTGTCTGGTTATACCCACTGACTCCATGCAACAGTGATGCAACACTGTACAGCCCTCCACATATCCACACATGATACACCTGAATAATGGGAATGCCTTTCTTGCATCACAGAATTTATGCCAAATGCACTGATGGCTTGTATTATGACTGTCTGGTAACAGAGCTGGATAGTATAAACCAAGAAACAGCTGTTGCTATCTAAAGGCAAAGTCACTCTATTAACTGTATGACACAGACAGGTGTCAAAGCATTGTACTGACCAGCACGCCCCCCCCCCCAATATGTTAAAATAGGGAATCTGGATGTTTAGATGATAAGGCAGCACTAGGTAAGCACAGTGGTGTGAATAAGCTTCCATGCTCATTTTGTGAATAAAGAATACAAATGAATTTCTATTATTTGCCTTTCACTATTGATTCTCAAACCAATGTTTAGACTAAAAGAAACACTTTGTTTATACCATAAAACTAAAAAAAGGACTGCTACTTCCAGGTCCTCCCACTGGCAGAACTGCTGGGATGTCACATCATGTTTGCCCTTCTGCCCTGGGTTACCTGTGCAATTTTAAAAATAAAGTAAGGTCCCTGTCCTGTTAGTAATATGCAAAACTCCTGCAAGCCATGGAGTAAAATATAGATTAAATGACATAGTGAGGTAATGATAAATATTGTAATGATAAATATCCAAACTATAGAAAAACTAATTAAAATGAAACAATCTGTGCCAGAGACTAGAAGATACCTATAGATTACAGAAAACCTCTAGCAAGGCATTTCAGCAAAAGCTAACTACGCACCCAACATCAGACGATTGGGAAATCTTTTACTTACCACAGGCCTTCACTCCAAACACCTGGACTTCACAGAGTGTAAGACATTGTATGCCTGGGATAGTAACAGTTACATACTGCCCCTGTGCTTCTCCACAGTCAAAAATGGCTGTTTCTCCTAGACCCAGAAAGTGGATTATAGCACACCTTGAACAGAAACAAAGTCCTATTAGGTGGTATTTGTGATAAAGCACAAAAAATAAAATAAAAAATTCTTCTCAGAGAATGGCAAATTATTGTTTTGAAAAATTTTACGCATCAAACTGTTAGGAACCTTGCTGCTTCATTCCACTTCCGTTGTTCTGCACAGTAACCCTATGACACACACACACAAAAACATTGCGGTGTACAAACCTTGGGTTTGTAATTCCTCCTTTTTCCGGCGAGTTCCCAATTCGGATTTCAGCCCCGTTTATCCGATCTGCACAGCAGTCTCCTCGATTGAGGACACTGACTTTGTGCACTCGGAACTCTGCTCCCAAGTCCACTGTCCACCACGGATTAATTTCAAGCTCTGTGTGGGTGCAGTGCCCCAACAAATAGTCAGCAGATGAAGATCCATCAACAGCATTCTCAGGCTCTCCAATTGCATTGTAGGTGCTGGATTGGAATGCCTTTCCTTCAAGAGCAACATTGGGTTCTATAAAAAAGAACACACACAAACACTCCCTTTATGTTTAAATCACCAAAAACTAAAGCCTGTTGGCATTATGAAGAGAGCTCACACAGTGGATCTGGATTAATTATTCGAATGGATAATTAGCAATTCATTGCAGGTACACTGGTGGTAGACTCTGACTTTGACCGTTAAAGGAGTGAGGTCATACATCCAGGACAGACCACATGCTTAGAGGGCAAAGAGCTCTGGGTTCAGTCCCTGGCAGTCTCCCTTGAAGGCTCTCGTGTAACAGGGCTGAGAAAGATGTTGGCTAGCTTGAGGCGGGGGAGCTGCTGCCAGTCAGCACAGAGAGTGCTGGACTAGAGGGACTAATGTTTTGACTCCGCATTATACAACTTCATTTGTTCCATAAGTGGATAGTAAAAATGTAATGGTCTCCCACTATACTCTTTGGGCCCAGCTGGACTTGGGAGGAGACATGTGAACAAAGTTCCCATACGTTGTCAAAGGCTTTCACGGCTGGAATTCATTAGCTGTTGTAGATTTTCCAGGCTGTATGGCTATACAGCCCAGAAAATCTACAACAACTAAAGTTCCCATCATTTCACTATTATGTTTGTCAACAAGACTACATCACGTGTGATATTTTTCTCATGTCCAGTAGGATACAATGGGTTGGTTACCAGAGGTCTCAACTTCCTCTCCACTTGCTAGTGTTCTGGAAGGCTGAGTCTCTTCCGATCTTGGCTCATCTGGCATGGAAGTTATAAAAAGACACAAAAAGACTTAGTTAAGACTCCCTCAGTATGTGGTATACATCATTAGGCACAGTTTAGATACAAGCTTTGGAGTTGTGTTAAAGTAAGCCCCCTGGGAACCACTGAGAGCCAGTTTGGTGTAGTGGTTAGGAGTACAGACTCTAATTTGGGAGAACCAGGTTTGATACCCCACTTCTCCACATGCAGCTGCTGGTGTGACCTTGGGTCAGTCACAAGTTCTTTCAGAGCTGTTCTCTCAAGAGCAGTCCTTGAAAGAGTCCCACCTACATGACAGGGGGTCAGTTGTGGGGAGGGGAAGGGAGAGAAGATTGTGAGCCACTCTGAGACTCCTTTGGGTAGTGAAGGGCGGGGTATAAATCCAATCTCCTCTTCTCTCTTCATCAGTTAAATAAAATATTTGTTTCAAAGCCTTGCCCCTATTTTGCTTATTAGATGTTGTTATGCAATTATTTTCCTTTTTTATTGTTTACTAGGGATAAGCAGTCAGAATTTTCTAATCAAGATCTGACCTAGCCCAGGTCCCGTTTGTAAATATAGTAAATTCTCTGAATCTGACACCTTCTGATGTGGTTGTTATTCTGGTACCTCATTGTCTGGCTTCAGTTTCCCAGATAGTGGGAGGGACAGCAAGAGGACAAAGTGATTCAGCAGATGTGTGCCTTAGAAAGATGTCACCAAATAGAATAGTCAGCCAATCTTTACATTAAGCAGGTACCATGGTAGAGAAGAAACTATTTGAACCACTGTGGTTCAAACTGAGTGGGTAAACCTGAGAATCACTAGTTTCTGCCAATCTTAGGCCTATCTCACTAGCTTTGGGAAGACTTTCTTATTTTATATGAATACAAATCACACATAGCTGTTTTGGTCTCTGGAGCTCTGCCTGCTAGGCAAGGACAAAGACCTTGCTTGAACACACAGCCAGGCAGGCAGAGGGCTGTGGTGGGGAGGCTATGATATTCCATCCATGCGTACAATACGCAGCTCACCTGCAGACTGGGACAAGAGAGGCTGGATGGAAGGATTCCTTCCCTCCATGACAGGAAGCCAGCCCACCTGCCTTGCTAGGCCCAGAGGCAAAGTGTATGCTTGCAGATGCTGTTCAGAAGGCACTACAATAGTTATTGTTTCTTTTAAAATTCTTTAATTGGGTACAGTTATGATTAGTCAAAATTTAAAAGCAAAGGAACTAAATACATAGGCAAACGGTAAGTAAAACCCTAGAAATAGATACTGAATTTCTAAATCTAAGCTTCCTCCTTCACTCAGGTTCTCTTCTTTTGCTGCACTGCACTTTACCAGTGAAGTTTTACATGTGAATGGTTGAGTTATGCATCGGCAGCATACAGCAGAATTTCTCATGCAGATGCAAATGTGAACACAGCAACTCTCCTGCCTCTCCTCCTCTGCAAAACATACACATTCTGCTCTCCATGAGCATGACCACCTTTTCAAGCAAGCAGTACACCAGCTGAGTCATCCACATGTTCACCCAACATCTCTAAACCAGAAGAACATTCTTTACTGTAATCAGACTACTAGTCTATTTTTTCTTCAAATGTCACATGACTGTGACTGTCCACAGATTGGATGTAGGGTTCCCACCCTCTCTGAAGTCCATCTCTTGGAAATCAAACCCCTCAGCTAAGCATTCTATATGATAACTTCTCAGCCCCTGCCCTCTTACAACACTGTATTTCCCATGATGCTGTGTGGTAACAGAATGACTCAGATTACGCCTGTGATGTTGATATATGCTCTGTCTTTCGGTCTCTCTCTGCACATCAAAATAGAAGCCATCTAGGAAACATTTTACTTACCGGTGGGAGTTACCTTCTCACCAAACACTTGGACTTCACAAAGTGTGAGGATTCCTCCATTTGGTTGGTTAACAGTGACATACTTTCCTTGCATATTTTCACAGTAAAAACTCTGGGTTTCCCCAAGACCCAAGGATTCGATCACAGTACATCTGGGGGGGGGGGGTGGTAAACCACATGAGCATGTAACTGGTAACAACGTGTTAATTGATTAATTGTTGTTGTTATTTAATCAATATATACAGTTTGAAATTTATTCAAGGTATATATTAGAGATATTGGAACAGAAGGAAGCATGTGTGAAGAATGAAACTGAGATAAGGTTGAAAGGCAGAAATTCCTGGGAGATTACAAATAGTGTGATAACAAATGGAGTAAAATCCCTGGAAGACAATGGGTAACAATAAACAGCACGAGGGAAAAATCAAGTGCAAAAAAGACATAACAGAAAGAATGTGCCAGTTAAAAAGATAGAAGACACTGGCCAGATGGCCAAAAGCAAAAGAGTTCTTCAGGTTATAATGGAAGACCAAGCAGACCAGAAGTTCAAAAGCAGGAGCAGGTCAGGGGCCAGCATGATTTGGTAAGCCCAGGTAATATGGCTGAATCCAGTTGAAAAAGGGGAAGTTCTCTAAGGCAGACAAATACCTTGAAACCCTATATAGGCTCATGGAATAGGAAGCAAAATGGAGGATTCTACCTGGTGTACCAACAGTCACCTCCCATGTCTCCAGCTCCAACTGGATATCCCATGTCTATTTCTCTGGGACTTTCTCTGCCCCATATGGAATAATCCTGTACATCATAAGATTTTCTTCAAATTGATTTTCTTTCTATTAAAATACTTCTTTCAAATGAACTTTCTACAGAGTACCTTTAGTCTTCAGAGACTACAAGGAAAGAGGCTGCCTTTTTCAGGACCTCATGCAGAAATCTGGCTAACCCCAACATGAGTAGGTGAGCATGATGATTTCCATGTGTATATGGATGGGTGTCCTCCTGTTATTCTCATGTGTCATTTATTCTTCCACAATAAACATTACATGCATGGTAATTTGAAAATGATGTGGTTCTCACGCTCATTTCTTACCTAAAAGATCCCCAAATCTATGACAAACATTCTGAACATGGAATAAAACATTGTCCTAAACTAAAACAGTTAGGAATCTGTCCACGTCATTTCCATTTCTTTGTCTTTCTTGTACTCTAATCCTGCAAAGTCCTAGAAAATATCAAACTGCTTCAGTACCTGGGATTCATGGTGCCCCCTGCCTCTGGAGAGTTCCCAATCCGGATTTCAGCCCCATTGAGCCGATGCGCACAGCAGTCTTCCCGGTTACTGATGCTTACACGAGTTACTTGATATTCTGACTTCAAGTCCACTATCCACCATGGATGGGTTTCTTGTTCTGTGTGGGTGCATGACCCATCTAAAAAATTACCTGTGGTAATCCCATCAATAGCATTGCTAGCCATTCCTAGTGGGCTAAAAGTGCTGGATTGTAAAGCATTTCCTCGGATGGCCACATTGAGAGCTGCAACAAAGAAAACAAAAGTTTCTCTCTCACTATAGCTGTGCTGAAGCCCTTATCATCAACAACAACAACAACAAGACACCTTTCTAAATATTGAGTGTCTTTTTAACAATGCAGAATACTTCTTTTATAACAAATGCATTGATTGCTGGCATTGGTTTCATTCCACCAGTGAAGTGGAGGGGCTGTGGTGCACTGGCAGGGCATCTGCTTGGCATACAGAAAGTCCCAGGTTCAATCCCCAACACCTCCATTTAAAAGGATCAGGTAGGAGGCGATATGAAAGGCCTGAGACCCTGGAGAGCTGCTGCCACTCTGAGTAGACCATACTGCCTTTGTTGTCCCAAGGGGGATCTGATTCAGTCTAAGGCAGCTTCATGTGTTCATAAATTGGATCATTCATACAAAATAGATACTTTCTGAGTATGTACATCACAGCTGGGATAAACATATGGGGGGGGGGGGACTGCAGGGATGCAAGTGGAATCATAGTAAAGGATTCCAGAATAATGCGTTGGATGGATCCAGTCATCTGTTTCGCTCAGAAAGTGACTGTGCCGATGCCCATGCCTACTGACTTGGCTCCTACTAATGAGAGGCAGCTTTGTGTTTCAGGGCAGGGTCGGAATGCACATTGCGAGAACATGCTTAAGGACAGAAATACAAGAGCGACAAAACACCCCTTGGTTTCCAGTTTGATTCAGGAAATCCATCAGTCTCCTGGGAGGCCTTGTTCCCACTGGCAAAAAGCGGCAAGATATGGTAAGTGGTTTGTGTTGCACCTGCCAACTGGGTAGTGCTAGAAGCACAGCAGTGCACTACAGAAGTTACACCCATGTTCAGATGATTAGCTGATGATTGCCCATAGCCAGAAAGTTATTTGGGGGGGGGGGGCGCAAATGAGTACAGTGGTGGTGAGCACATAATTATTTATTTACTTGGTTATGATTCACAGGGGTCTTTTCCTAGAAAAAGAGCTGCAGGAGATCATTAGCATATGGTATGCTAATGAGCTAGTAGGCTATTAGCATATGCCATGCCCCCTGACATCATTGGAAGTGATGCCAGAAGGGGAAGCAAAAGGGGGAAGGCATCTTCAAAAGCCTCCCCTTCCTTTCCCCAGCTGGCCTGCGGGGGGGGGGAAGAGTTGGGCCACAGAAGGAGCAAAGAGGGAAGGAAAGAGAGAGAGTAGAGAGAAGGAAAGATGGGATAGAAGGGGTTTTCTCACTAGAGTTGGGCCACAGAAGGAGGAAAGAGAGAGAGTAGAGAGAAGGAAAGAAGGAAGGAAAGAAGAAAGGAAAGGGGATAAGAAGGAGGGAAAGAAAGAGAGGGAATGGAAGAAGGAGGGAAAAAGAGAAGAGAAGAAGGCAGGAAAGAGAAAGAGAAGGAAAAGAGAGAAACAAAAGGAGGGAAAGAAAAGGAAAGGAGGGAAAGATGGTAAAGAGATGGAGGGAGGGAGGCTCTCCCACCACTCCCTATCAAGCCCCCGCCACCCCAGCCCCGCGGATCCCTTACTTACCGCTTTGGCGGGGGCCAGGGAAGCCGGCAGCGGGGCTGTCCGGGCCTCCCCCAAGCCACAGCATTTCTGCGCGGGCCCGGGGGACCCAGGGGTGGGGCTCTCCGGGCCTCCCCCGAGCCACAGTGCTTCTGTGCGGACTCGGGGAACCTGACGGTGACACTCTCCATGCATCCCCTGGCCGCGCTCTCCGTGTGTCCCCCGGGCGCAGTGCTTCTGCGCGGGCCCAGGGGACCCAGGGGCGATGCTCTCTGGGCCTCCCCCGAGCTGCAGTGCTTCTGCACGGGCCCGGGAGACACGGAAGCGGTGCTCTCCAGGCGTCCCCCATTAACAGCGCTTTCAGCGCCGGAGAGCTGGGGGCGGGGCTTGCCACCACCGCCATTTGCACCAGTTCCTGGGCTGCCAAAGCAGCGCTCCGGCCCCAAAAGACCTCTGGTTATGAATGAGCTATGATGTAGTGCAAAGCTTCCACAAGAGATCATTCTACAAAGATGGTTAAACGACAATCTATTTGGTTTAAAACCAAATACCCCCTTCCTTTATTTATACACTAACCTGATACCTGTGCTTTGCTATGGTATCTAAGTTCTGGAAATCCAGTTATAATACTGATGATGTGCAGTTTGAAATGTAACATTTGTTGTAGGAATTCTAATGGAGAATACTGTAGTGTAAAAAATTAAGTGAGACATACACACAGTGGCCGTGTATGGCCGTGGCCCCACCCCCAGCGTGCCCACGTCACTTCCGGGTGACGCGCACGCGGCGCGCGCACGCATTCACCCGACACCGGCCGGGAGCCCCCCGCTCCCGGCAAAGACTGATTTGGCAACCCTACACAAGGTATAGATAGGGACTCTGGGGCAAGTGATGCTCTGTCATCTTGGTGCTTGGGGGGGTCAACAGTGGGAGGGCTTCTAATGTCCTGGCCCCACTGGTGGACCTCCTGATGGCACTGGTATTTCTGGCCACTGTGTGATACAGAGTGTTGGACTGGATGGGCCTTTGGCCTGATCCAACATTGGCATCTCTTATGTTCTTATTGCAAACAAGTAGCAAGAGAGCACAGTAAAGACATCTAGTGGCGGAGTTTGGAATTGCAAGAACAGTAATTTTGGCGGCAAGTCACTGAAGCTTCAGTGTTGCAATTTGAGTAAGTTTAAACTAGCTTGCAAAGAGGAGTTATGGAAGACACAACAGAGACCATTGTAAGTGCAGTTGCAGAAGCACAACCTGATATGGATACAGCTTCAAATCCTGAGCAGATGGCAACTGGAGTAATCAGCAAAGCATACTTAGCAGTCCTTGCTACCAGCTCCACAGCTGTCGGGAACTGCATAACTGTTTAACAGCAGCCACCCTATGAAAGCCAGCGTGGTGCAGCAGTTAGAGCTCCAGAGTAGAGTCTGCAAGACCCAGGTTCAGATCCCCATCTTGCTGTGGGACTGTGTGATTTTGGACCAGTCACACACTTTCAGCCTAACCTACCTCACCAGGTTATGCAGATAAAAAGGAGGAGAGAATAATGTAACCTACTTTGGTTCCCACTGTGGAGTTGGAAAGCTTAAGACAGAGGGGCAGATAAAAGTAGATTGTCTGTTGGGTGGGAAGGAGATAGGGTTGCCAACTCCATGTTGGGAAATTACTGGATATTTGAGGGCTGGAGCCTGGAGACAGTGCAGTTTGGGGAGGGGAGAGACATCATATTGGTATAATGTCATAGACTTTGCCCTCCAAACCAGCTGTTTCCTCCATGAGAACTACTATTGCCAACTTCCAGGTGAGGGCTGGAGATCACCCAGAATTACAACTGTTGTACAAGTGACAGAGATCAGCTACCCTGGAGAAAATGGCTGCTATGGAGGGTAGATTCCAGAGCATTATACCCTGCTGAGGTTGCTTCTCTCCCCAAGACTCACTGTCCCAAGGCTCCACCCCCAAATCTCCAGGAATTTCCCAATCTGGAGATGGCAACCCTAAGCAGAATTGATCTCTGTAGCTGGGAGATCGGTTTTGATTCTTGGAGAGCTGCCACTGCCAGTGCTGCTGTGGGGAAGAGAAGGAAGCAGGTGGGTGGTTGGGAGCACCACCACCACTGCTGTCCCTATGTAGGAGAGAGGAAGCAGGCAGGAGGCTGGGAGAGTGATGGGGCAGAAAGAGAGAGTGATGGGGTGAGGGACAGAAAGAGAGGAAGAGAGATGAGGTAGGGAGGCAGAAAAAGAGAATGAGGAGGAGGCATAAAGAGAGGAAGTGACATGCATGGAGGAGAGAGAGAGTAAGAAAAGGGGTGGCAGAAGGCAGAAAGGGGGTGAGAGAGGTGGGGGAGAGGGGGAGAAGCAAAGGTGGAGGAAATGGGGTAGCTACCCTACATGTTTCTTGTAGGTCCCCACTTGTCTATACACTATTAGCCACTGTGGGCCCCATCTACAGATAGCTAAATATGTGGATCAGGGCCATGTGGATGCTAAATAGATCTTTCTTCAAACCTGGGGCACTCCGCAGGTTTGCAGAAAAATCTGCAAATTTAAAAAATATATATAGGGGGGTTTAAATCCCCTGAAAAGTAAAGTAGCAGTATCTGTACTTACAGAAGTGGTCGCACAGCCTGGGAACTGCACTGGGCCCAGTGGTGGCACAGCCCAGGGCTCTACTGGGCCCGGCAGAGGCTGCACAGCCTGGGAGCCGTGGTGAGCATGCCACTGCTGGCGGAGCCTGGAAGCCGTGCTGGGCATACCACCATTGCTGAACCCCGGGAGCCACACTGGGCTTTGGTGACACAGCCTAGGACCCACACCAGGCCCGCCAGCAGCAGAGATGCAGGCCAGGGAGTCGTGCTGGGCATGGGTCCATCAAAAAAGTGGGGAATGAAGCTCTGGGCCTGGCTGCCACTGCAGAAGATGCTGGGCAAGGCTCTGGGCCTGGCTGTCATGGCAGAGAACAGTGGGAGAGGCTTCCAGGCACCACTGCTGAGCTTAATGGTGGGTGGTAAGACCCAGAGCCACAACAGGTTAGGCAATGGGGTGGCATGAGATTCCCCCCTGCAAGTCCTGCTGAGCCAGTAAGGAGGGAATCAGGCAAGGGAGGGTGCAGGATTCCTCCCTGCCCCTCTGGAGCTGGTAATCAAGGATTTGGGCAGGGGGTGCAGGTGTCCTTACTATCCCCCCGTGGAGCCCACCCACCCACTGAACCGTAAAGTGGGAATTGGGGTGAGGGGGAAGGGTTGTTTTGGCCTTTAAGAGAGGCCTGGCAGCAACCACCAATAGGGTTGCCAGCTCCTCTCCCTTCCTG